AAGGCAGGATGCAGCAGCCAGCGGCTCCTGGAAGGACACATTCGCACCTCGCAGCAGCTGCTGCCGCCGCTGGCTCAGCCGATCAGTGGTGACCGACCCGGGAAGGAGCGGGTGCCCATCCCCTGTGCCACTGACCATCCCCTGTGCCCATCCCCTGTGCAGGTGCCCATCCCTTGTGCCACTGACCATCCCCTGTGCCAGTGTCCATCCCCTGTGTCACTGACCACCCCCTGTGCCCATCCCCTGTGCCGGTGTCCCTGTCCTGCCCCATCCCGGCTCCTGCCCTGCACCGCGGCGAGCTGCGCTTTGCACCCTGCCCACGCCTGGCAGAAAGAGAAACCAGCATGTGTTTCTAATAAAGCCGAAGCCAATTTAGATCAAGCCCTATACGAATCAGAGCTTTTAAAATGTACCTGGAGATCTCTGAAATGCACATAAAGTGTGGCGGCCGCCGGGCGGGGGGCGCTGCCCTGGGGCGATGCGGGGGAGCTTGTGGTGAACAGCCCCTCCCGTGGCCAGATTTTACTGCTGCTCCCTTTCCTCCCCGGGAATGCTCCATTCCCATCCTCCTCCTCAGCCCTGTGAAATGCCCTGTGTGGTGAGGCACCGGCTGTGCCTCTGCTTGCTCAGGGTTTAAGGTACCATCTCATCAGCACCCTCGGGTGAGCGCTGGGACCCTCCCGTTCCTGCCCATCTCCAGACACCAAGCACCGTGCAAAAAATCAGCAGAGCTTTTGCAGCTGCCAGAAGGCCAAATGTGGGATGTGAGAAGTGATGCTGCTGATCACCGTGGCCCAGGCTGAGGGCGAGCTGTAGCCTTACCATGCTCCCCACAGCCCATGCCAGGCACGCATCACCTCCCTACCCCTGGCCAAGCACAGAATCACCTCCAAAATCTTTATTGTCGTTGGGCTGCACAGCCGCCAGTCCAGCACACCCAGCAGGGAGGAGGATGCTGCCCTGGAGCATGTGAACCGTAGCTCAGGGAGGCTCAGGACAAGGCTCAGGGCAGGCTGGAGGCTGTGTGTGTGCACAGCCCGGTAGAAAAAGGCACTTTGTGCAGCAGCAGCCCTGCGGGGCAGAGCAGCGGGACAGCTCCTCGCACCACGCTGGGATGCTGATGCTGCACATCCCGCCCGTGTTCACCTCGGCCGGCGCTCAGCGGGTTCCAGGATGATTGCAAACCATCCCGGCAGGGCAGGGCAGGACATGCTCAGCGCAGGCGAGGAAGGGAAAGTGCTGAGCCAGGGAAGAACGGAGCCGGGGGTCTCCTCTGGAAGGTCCGGGCTCGGTGCTGCCGGCATCCCCTGCCTGGCACTGATGGCACTGCCCAGCTCGGTGGGACCCGAAACCCTCGGCTGTGGGATAAATCCCCCTGAAGGGATGGGATAATCCCCTCCTTGGAGAGTGCAAGTTCCCTCTTGGAGCTGCCAACCCTGCTTGGACCCATTCCTAAGTGCCAACCTAGAGCCTCGCAGCAGGAAATGCACCTCCAAAAAATCAGAGCAACTTCAGAGCTTCATAGCAAATATCTTTCCTCCAATTGAATCAGTGCTGCCAAGGCTGGGATCCGCTTCCAACCCCATTTTTACGAGCAGCCACAGGGCAAATTTCCTCACAGACCTGCTCTGTGCTGCTCTTGTATCCGATCGGGAGAGGGCAGCTCTCCTTCGCTCTGCGCACGGCTGCATCCCACGCTGCCAGCCCGGGGGAGTTGTTGTCCCTCCTGGTCAGGGAGGTGACTTTTGCAATTTTCTACTTCCTTTTAACCGTCTGGATTGAAAAGCCCAGCTCTTCTCAACCATCTCCCCGCAGACGTGTAGAATTTAGAAAAAAGTCTTAAGTAAAAAAAAAAATCTGAACAATTTTAGAAGAAATCGGTAAAAAACCATTAACCCCCTATAGCTGCTGATCTCACTCCAAAATGTGACACCATCGCAAGCTTCGGTAGAATCATCTCCGATGGATACACCCACTGCCATTCATTCAGTCAGAAACATTAACAACAGAGCCAGGCTTTAAAAATTGATCATGATTTTCAGGAAGCTGTGTATTGCTTCCTGAGCCCTGGGGCTGAATTTTCCAAGGAGTGCTCCATAATCTGGAGAGTAAGAAGGGTAATTTTATCCTTTTGAAATTTAAGTTTTGCCTGTTACGAGCAGTTTCCAAAATGATTTGCCCAATCTGCCTCAAAAGTGCCACCTTGCCTGGAGTCACTGGGGGGCTCCTCCAGTCACTCTGGGGGGTTTGATTTCAGCTGCCCACATTGGTCTCCACTTGGGACCTTTGGCAGTCTGATTTTATGGTGGAGACACACAAAAACCCTCCATCCTAGCATCCCCATGTGGATACTGGCTGCTCCTGGCCCTTGTGTCCAAGGGGGAAAACATCCCCGTGCCCACGAGCAGCTCACAGGTACCTGCTGGATTTGGGGAAGAAGAGGTGTTTGGGGATCTGGAAATTTTCAAAACTGGGAGTTTTCATAATAGGAATTTTGATAACTGCTGGCTCAGCTGTACAAAAAAAAAAAAAAAAAAAAAAATTACCTAACCCAGCTTGCAGCGGGATTTCCAGTGGGAGAGGTTCTCCAGGAGACAGGAGCAAGCCAGTGCCCAGTGGAGATGGGGCTGACCCTGGGGATTTCCAGCTTCTCTCTGGAGCTGGTGATCACCTGTGCAAACCACCCACTGCCACTGAAGCCAGGGGTTCAAAAGCAACCCTGGAGCTGCTCTCCTTCGGTACAACCAGACAGCAGCCATGCAAACAGCCTTGGGTGGGTTTTCTGCCTTCTGTGACTCGAGATCTGGCTTCTTCTTTGTCTTAGCTGACAGAATGAGGAATGTGGTCTGAAAGGAAACCAGCTGCTCTGGGAATCCAGGGTGCCTTAGGTGCATGGGGGAGTTTTTCTGCACCCAGAGAAGGAGGGGACTTGGGCTCTATGGTGGGTGTGGGTGCAAGGAGGTGCTCCATCTCAGCTGTGCCTCCTTCAGGATGCCGTGGTGGGATTTTCAGCCAGCTGACATTTATTGTTGCTCCTGCCTGGGACCTCCTTCCTCACCCTGGGGATCACTGCACTTCACCAGAAAACCCCCAGACCTGCAGGGTGGCACTGCCCTTTGCTGCCCAGCTCTGCCTTCCCGGTAATGCCAGGGGTGTGTTTGAAGCTCGGGGAGGAGGTGACAGCTCCTTGTTAATACATTGGTGAAACTTTTAAAGAACAAAGCCCCAGACCTGGAAGCACCCAGCCCTTCTCCACTTAGCCTGGTGTTTGGGTTGATGTGTGAAAACGGCTGGCAGCAGAGAGGCACATTTAGAAATAATTTATTTTTTTCTGCCATTGTATTTGGCCTTTATTCCCCTTGTTGAATTTGGCTTGTACTCATGATATTTATATTCTGTTAAATGAATGAGGTATGTAAAGTATCTAGCTACGTATTTATTCTCTCAAGTACATTCCTTATGGGTGTCGCAATATGAACTTACATATAAAAATACACAAATAATGTATATATACAAATATTTATATATTTCATACATCTATAGTGAGCTGGAGAGAGGCAAGTGGCTCATAAGGATTAGCCCTGCTCCCAGGAGAGGAAAGGCTAATTTCTGTTTTTGAGCCAATAAAGACGTGTCAGAGGGCTGGAGTGAAGGGGAAACATTGGCAGCACCTCTGTGCTTTTCAGCATATTAAGATGTCACCATGCTTGGATTAAAAAAAAGAAAAAAAAAAAAGCAAGCAAGGCATGAATAATAAATAGAGCAACATGCAGCTGACTTCAAGGGAAAACTAATTTCCCTGGGGCTTGCTCCATACCATATACATTAAAATTTCACCTGCTTTGACAGCTCTGTGACCTGAAGAGAGATGCTGAGAAATGTGGTGTCCATAGCAGAGCCTGGCCAAGATCCTGCTGCCAAACACAACTGGGATTTCCTTTCAATGCTTTGATCTCCCCTGCCAGCCATAGCTTGCTCTGCCTGTGGGAAGGAGCCACAGTGCAAACCTAGCTGAAATTATGTTTGACTTTGTTTTTTAAAAAATATGCAGCCCTCAAATTTCTGTGTTGGGCTGCCTGAAGGGTGTGCTTTACTGATGTTTTCTGTCCTGCTATGGGACAGTCCATGTAATGGGGCTGCCCTGCTGCAGACCTTGCTGGGACATGGTGGGCACAGGGATGGGGTGTGAGGCCAGGCTAGGACCTGGAAGGATGCAGCAGAGGAGAGGGGACAGAAGATGGGTATCACCCAAGGAGAAGTTTTTCTGCTACCACTCTCAAATAAATATGGAAAAAAAGCATCTCTTCCCACTCTCTGCCTCCCCTGGAGCCTCAACCTGCCAGCAGAAGGAATTAGAGCTGCTTCCACACCCTCTGCACCCTCTTGAATTTCCATCACTTGGAAATCACTCCAGAGGAGGTGTCACTTTTTGTGAGCATGGCACGGGTCCATATCCTTGGTTTTTCTCTTTTAGTTCTCTGCTTATTTGGGCAATGCTTGACCTGGTGCCTTTTATCTTGGATCAAGTTTCCACCATCAAAACAAGGGCAGGTCTGATGTGGGCTGTCCCAGGTGGTGGCACATCCTGGCACTTCAGTTTCCTTCCCAGCTCTGTGCATGTTTCTGGCCCTTGGGGTCTTTGGGTATGACCAAAGCAGGGTCCTGCGTGGTGAGCCCCATCCCAAGGGAAATGTGGGCTTTCCTGGGGTCAGAGCTCTTGGGTGGCAGTATCCGTGTTTTCTCAGACAACACTGCAAAGCCAATGACCTCGTTCCTCCTTTCTTCTGAGTCAGTCCCGAGCTCATTCTGGTAACTCTGCTCGTGCCACTGACTAATTTCGCCTTAACTCTTCTTTCCTCCACTCTGGCCTTTCAACTGGAAAAACTGGATGGCTCTGGGTTGTGGTTTGGGTTGGTTATTTTGTTTTGAATCCCGAGATTATCGTGTCGGGCATAACTGGGGCTGCTTGCTGCTGTAGGTCTGAACCTCGCCTGCCGACGAGGCCGGGGTGGGACTCGAACCCACAGCTCCCGCTCCCCAAGCCGACGCCTTCCCCGCTCGCCCACGGCCGGGGGGCGGGACCCACCACCCCGGCCCCTCCCTCGCCCCGCCCCCGCGCGGGCGCGCCTGACGACAGCTGCAAAGCACTTTTTCAGCAGCCGCAAGTGAGGTGAGTCGCGGCCCCGCGGCGCGGGGGGGGTCGGAGCCCCCCCGGCCCCTCAGGCCGGGCCGGGGCCGCCGGGACGAGCGGCGGGGCCGCGGCCGCTCCCCCGCCCCACTGGGACCGCGCCGCCCGCGCTCCGGAACCGGGCGGGGCGAGCGGGCGGGGGGCGCGAGCGGCGGGGCCGCGGGGCGGGGAGGGGCGGCCGGTTGCTGTAGCGGCGGAGCCCGCGCCTCCCCCTTCGCAGCCCGGCGCGGGGGCCCCGCTGTGAGCCAGCGCTGCCCCCGGGGGTTGGGGGCGGCGAGTCCCCTCAGGGGGCGGTGGCGGGGCCGGGCTCGGGCTGCGAGCTTCCCTCCCGCTTCCCACCCGCGTCCCTCCCGCAGGGGTCCGGCGCAGCGACCCGGTGACCCGCCGTGCCAGTTCGCGGCCTCCGCGCTACCTGAGCCAATGCTAGATCTGGAGGTGGTGCCCGAGCGGTCTCTGGGGAACGAGCAATGGGAGTTCACCTTAGGTAAGTGTGGTCCTTCCCCCGGCCCTGGGCGTGAGCGGGGCCGTGCGGGTCCCCTGGGCATCCGGCGTCCATAAGGGCTCTCCCAGCTCTTTTGGGGAGTTGGACAGAGAAAGAGAGCGAGAGCCAAAGCTCACCTTTTGCTGTCGCTAAAAATACTGAAGTACGAGCTTTAAGGATTTCCTTGTAGTTTATAGTTTCATCTTCAGCTTTTGCGTGCTAACTTGGGCTTTGTGTATCTGATTGTGTGCTTTCATCTGCTTGTTTGCTTTCTTTTGTCTTGCCATAGAAGACTAGTCGTTCTTTTAAATAACTCCTGAAAGAGGAAGCATGAATGTGCTGATTGTCACCTGAATGTGTCAGGTGATATTGGCAGCTTCAGCTGTGCACTGATACTTACTATAAATGCTGTATTTTTCTGTACAAACCCTTCATAAACATGACTCGAGTTTCACAATTTCTTTGTGTTGCTGTTGGGTTGCGAAATAGTGGAGAAAGTAAACTTTTGAGATATTTTCTCAGGGTTGGATAACAAGTATTTTTCTCCCCAATCATTTATATTTTTCATCTTGCTGAGTAGTCCTTCCCAACCGGTTACTGCTGTACTTACTGTGATGAGAAAGAACTTTCCCCCAGCTGATGCAAATTTGGCTGTGCTCAGGCAGGACACTTAAATGTGCAGTTGAAATGAGATGATGTGGATTCTTTGGGTGACCTGTGTTTTGAAGCAGGTATTGGTAGTCCTTGAAACCCTGAGAAATTGCTGTCGATGCCACCTTTTCTGAGTGGTTGTGTGACATATCAGTGTTGGCCTCTTTTATTTCCGTTTTCCATCATTGCTGTAGCTCTGTGAGAAGTTAATGGTGATAGGAGTTCGGTAGATGTAAACAAGGCGCTGTGTGTCAGCTCTCAGTGCCTGCCTGAACTTGAGTTACACTTGGGCTGCTGCTCTTGTCACCTGTGACAGCGAGGGGACAGACTGTTCCTAAAGACGTTGTTACACTGTTGCCCTGAGCTAGGTTGGACCTGAGGAATGGTGCTGTGCCTTGGAGTTATTTATATGAAACCCATCAAACACAAAGGGCTGTTTATGCTGCTGTGACTTCAGTCAAGTACAACTTGATGGTTATAGACAGGGCTAAATGGCTTTTGGAGGCTAATTATAGCACCTCAGGTCCCACCCTTTGAAATCTTGGTGAACTCCTTGTACCCTAAATGTTCTGTGCTCTCAGCTTTGTGTGACCTTCTGCCATCCTTTAGTGCCTGTGTTACCTGGGGAAAAGCAGCCTCCAACTGCATACTCTAACTGTCTTCATAAGTAGAGAATACCAGCTCCCCTCCATTCTCTATATCAAAACAAGAAAAGGAAAGAGAAAATGTTTTTCCTTTTCCCAAGGAAAGCCTATTCATGCAGTCTCATGGTTCAGATCTTACAGTGTCTCTATGTGCATGCACACACACATGCATATATGTGAGAGAGAGGAAACTCAGCTGAATTTCTTGGAGTAAACATAGCCACCACGTGATGTGTCTAATATATAATTAGCATGACCTGCTGGTGCAGAGCAGGAGGCTGGCTAGGTATTAGGATACTTTGTCGTGCACCAGCGATGTTGTGTGGAGATTGTCCCTGCTGACAAAGCTGCTTCAGCTGTGTTAGTGGCAGCAAGGTTGGTGGTGCTGGTGTAAATGGGACTCTCACTGCCAGCACTGTTCTACTCATTATTTGTTTAGCTCTGCTCTTAGCAGAACTAATGGCAGTATTCCTGAACTGCTGCTGACTCTGGCTTCCAGTACTGTACCCACAATGGAGATGACTGAGGGGAAATGCCAGGAAAATTTTGTACATGACTTTTTGGATTCTGTTTCTGGCTCCAGTGTTGACTCACTATGTGACTAGAGCATAAAAAATTTAACCAAGACTGAGTTTAGATACCTGTGCCACTGCACCTCTTGGGCTACATTCCTGTTGTTTTAAGGGAGAACAATTAAATACTTATTCTGTAGTGCCTATAGCTATATTATTAGAGTTGGAGATGTATAATTTCTAGGGCATACTTGCATTTCTCTTGTGCTTTATACTTTCTTTTCCTACCAAGTTTCATGTATTTTTATTTAATGCATTGTGATTCATCTTAGATTTTCCTGTATTTTTCTCCTAATCTTTATTCACTTCTCAATCCCTATCCCTTCCAGCCACACAGTCTTAGCAGAGGCTGATGCTTCAAGCCATGATGTTCCTGAGCAGTATATGTGAGAGAACTGTCCTGTGCTGCTTTTATCACTTCAGCATTTAGAAGAGGGAAAGGTCTGTGACAGAGGAGCCCTAGCACTGCTCTTTGTGGGCATTACTGCCATGGCTCAGTTTGGTTGACTGATGTGCTGGAAACCATGTTTGCTTCCTCATTCCCCCTGACTGATGAGCAAGGGAAAAAGAATTCTTTGTTTTCCTCTTTGACTGCAAAGGCTGACGAATGTTGAGGAAAAAGGGGATGTTGTGTGTGAGAAGACTGGAGAAAAATAACCCATTTTTATATTCCTCCTTTGACGTTCTGCAAATGGAGGCAAAGGGAGGATACTGGCTGTTCAACACATTTTGGGTCCTGTAAACTGTTCCTGGAGAATTTGGGTTGCTCACTGTAGCTCTGCTAAGCAGCTGCATGGCCAAATCTGTTTGATTCTCAGTTACTGAAAACTGAACCAAGCCAGTCCATGTCCATTTGCTTGCAGCCTGAGAAAGCTGTGAGTAAGAGAGTCACATGAGCCATCTGTTTGCACACTTACCAGCCCAGGATTGCATCAGTTTACATCAAACTGCAGCCCCAGCTCAGTGTTTTTGCATTCCTTGAACCGGGTGCTTTTTGACTGAAGCCTCCCGGGCTGCTCCACCATCGGTGTATGGGCCCTGTCAGCTGAGCTTCAGCCTGTGCCACTGGTTCATTTTTTAAATGAGCTCATGGTCTTAACTCTGCAAGTCTTTTATGAATACTGACTTAGGACATGAGTTTTATACTCTTCAGTCAACCTTAAATTTTTTTCTGGATTCATACTTTTTACTGGGTTGAGAAATGTGGAATTTTTACAGCAGCATCTTTGATCTTAGCTTCTTGCTGCTATTCATATTTCTGTTCCATTTTGAAAATATTACCTAATACATAATAACTGTCGTCTTCAACCTCTGCTGCCTAGACTACAGGGCAACTGCTATTTCCTAGATAATAGGAAACAGTGCTGCTTTATTGTGTGGCTCTGTATTTTAATTTCATTACTGTTATTAAAATAATAACTGTTCCTTTTTACTTAAGATCATCTACTGATGCATAATTTCTAGCTGCAAAGCAAAATGTCCCCAAGTTTATGGGCTAAGGTGAAAACCAGTTTTGCAGACATGTTTGTATATGGTATTTGCAAATTGAATCACTGTAGTTCTAATCTGTACATCTGTTTTGCCAAAACTTGATTTCATCATTTCAGCAAAGCTGCAATATATGGGCATGACAATGAGAATGTTATTTTTGGGGGGTTTTTTTTGTGTTATGCCATTATTACTTTAAAGCAGTACCCATGGCGAGCTAGGCGTGTATGTTAGATATATATGGAAAGAGAGAGAGTTTTCTCATTTTGATACTGAAGATAATGTCTAAAAGGTGCTTTAAAACATGACATACTGTCTGAGTTTGAGAGGTATAGCAAGTAACTAAAAGTTTTGACTGTAATAAAAGTGTAGGTTCTGAGGTGAATTATCCCTAATCAGGCCAACTTTCTTAACATTTAAAAACTAGAAATAGAAAAGGACAGGGCAGTTAGTAGGAAAATAAAACTTCACAATTATGAGATCATAACCTTGCTTTATAAATGCCTGCCTTGAATCCAGGAATGTGATCACATTTCATTTGGAAAGGCAACAAAGGTTTTTAGTGTGATAAATGATGAGATGGTGTGGTGCTATTTTTTCTGCAGAATCAGCTGTTCCATTCTGCTTTCAAAAATTTGTGGTTGTACAGATAAGATATACGCTAAGGAAAGAAAAAAAGCCCTTGAAATTGCATGAGGGGCTGAGTGACTGTAAGTGTATTGCCTCAATTGAACCAAATTTTTAATATGTATATCTTGTCCAAAATGAGAATATAAAATTTCTTCCTTGACACGAATAGAGCAATATCAGCAGCTAACGTGGCCTCTTAGGTCTAAGGAGAATCATTGCTCTGTTAGTATTTGTATGTGTCTGGTATGAATACCCAGTACTTCATCAAGGCTAATGAAAAAGTGTTTCAGGAGCCTATTGAATGTGTCTAGGAGTGCTCTAGCCAGCTGTAGTGGAGTTTGATATGGGCTGTTTTACCAGTTATTGGACTGATGACCCCAAAAAGCAGAAAATTTTATGCACAGGCTGTGGCAAGC